CAGAAGATACCTATAACATGGCTCTGTGCCTTTGTGTTTGGGCAACACAGCTTGCACTGAATCACGTTTACCCTTAGCGTCACCCATAAAGAAGTACGCTTCATGGGCGAATTTGATAGCAATAAGATCAGTTGGGTAGTCGACTAGAATTTCTTCCCAAACATTTACAGCTGCTCGCATTTTTCTGAAAAGTAGAATATTTGTGAACCTTCTAATATTCTACACAGGTAAAATTTATGACTTACCCTTGTGCATATAGTTGAGCTGCCCTAGCATGTTTCTGTTCCCTTTCGTTGCCGTAAGCTATAGCATCTTTCTGAAGTTGTTCTAAATTTGTCCTCAAGGTTTCGTTAACCCTAGCACACGAGCTCGTGCCGAGCGCTTCCAGGGCATGTCGAAAAGCTCTTGGCATAACTGCAACCAATTTCCTCGTTCGACGCTTACAACAATCAATTGTCTTAAATGCGAATACCTGCATCTGGATCTGCAGCTTTCAAATCCGCCAATGTTTTATGAAAACCTCCTAGAGCATCACAATCTGACCAGGAAACAAGTTGCCTAACTGCCCCATCTAGGAGTCTTGCACATTCGTTGGATGAAGTACTTAGTGCGAGACCGGACGCACGCCAACCCTGATTCAGACTTTGTAAAAACAAAAATCTTTATATTATAGATGATAACAATCGTTTCCGTTTAACTTTGTCGTATCAGCTCTTAGTACTCTTTCGGGAACTAATCATTCCAATTTATAATCGTTCAACTGACTGTTTTTGAGTTTTCAAGTTCAAAGTATAAACGTAGTGAAAGTTCCATCTATGCTTTACATGACTTGTATTCGATTGAATTTGAATTTGCATAGCTCAGTACAGAATAGACATAAATTTTGTTTGAGGCTTACGTACTTACGTTGAGGAGTGATATTAAGAATTTTCCAGTTATATGATGGCTTCACTACTGATGCTAAGTACTATAATCGAGGCAATAGCATTCTTCTAAGGTTGCTCACTTATAGGCCTTCATAGATCTGCCTTGAAATCTTTTTAAGTTCACAAAGAAACCCTATAAAATACTGCAAATTTCATAATTGTTTTCCAAACCATTCTTTAGAAGAATTAGGGGTGAATCAATTTCCATACCATAATATAACTAAGGCTCTTACTATCTACCAAATATTAAGTGTAAATCTATCGATGTTCCATGCCATGCAAGCCCAGGAATATTTCTAGTTTAATCACTATAAAACAATTAATTTTTGCCATCTTAACATTTTGTGTGTTTAAATGTTGACAAGCAAAAGACTGTCATTTGAAAATGACATTTTTCAAATATTTAGCAAA